CTTCACTCTGAATTTACTGACGTAGCTCAGTGCCCTTCTCCCCCACTCGATTTCTACCAGAAGCCTTGGGCTTCTCCACAGACACCAATGCGGTTCTACACCCTGGGCTTTGTCATGTTTCCCTTATCCAGCTGAGGTACCATAGTCCATTTAACCCCACTTTGGTCTTCCTTAATTTCTTGGCCCCACACTCCTACCACACCTGCCATTGATACAACCAACCGCGTGTTCCCACTTCTCCAAAGCTGCTGGGGAAGCTCACGGAGCCACACTGACCCCTGACACTACAGTCCCTGCTCTATCAACTCCTTTCCACTGGCATTTAAAGCAACAGGAAAAAAATAGTCTCCCATTCGCTTCTGGGTCCTACCCTCTCTCCTTATACTCTTCATAGCTAATTACAGTAAAACCTCGGATTGGGAGTAATTTCTTCTGCACAAGACGTCAAAACATTTTTAATCTTTAACTTGATTAATGAGCAATGTCTTCCAATAGGAGTAGTACGTGATGCTGCACATCACATGATCACAACTGAGCCAATGGTTCTCTCTCTCTCCTACCCCTCCCCCCGTTCTCTCTGTGGGATGGTGGGTGATCATCTCCCACGCTCAGATGCTCGGTCTCAGGCCATGATGTTTGGCAGGAATCAGTGATTTTTCAGAACGTTGGAAGGTGCCCACAGCTGGCTCTAGTGTATTTTTTGTCACTTCAAAGCACCTCGGGACAGTCCTTTGCTTCTCCATCAAAGAGTAAGCTTAGGAATGCTCTGCTTCAGGCTACGTCAGGCTGCCTGCAGATAGAGACCCTTTCCTCTGCTGCCTTATTGCCAGTTACATTAAATACTGTATATGACAAGAGTTTATCAATACTGTACTGTAGTCAACATCTGTTAGTGATAATGAAAGCTGTCCTACTCAATAACCCTTCTCTCTCTTGTTGCCCTCGCACCAGCCCCGAAGGTTTTCAAAGGTAAGTGCAGGTTCATTTGTTTATTTTTCTTTGTATTTTCTACTTTCTCAATTATTTTGTATTATATCACAGTATTGTAATCATTTTCATATGAATATCTTTGGGTTGTGGAATGAATCACCTGAGTTTCCATTATTTCTTATGGGGAAGTTCGCTTTGATATATATGCAAGTGCTTTGGATTACAAGCATGTTTCCGGAATGAATTATGCTCGCAAACCAAGGTTTCACTGTATCTGGAAAGAGTGATCTCCCCATGCTGCCCCACTTCCTCACGCTCTCCTAAGGGTGGTGCATCAGAGACTGGCCACTGGCCACAAGTGGCTACTTAAATAAAAATCAGTAATTAAAATTTATAGAAACCAAGTACTCAATAGCCACATGTGATGCAAATACAGGGCATTTCCATTATTTCAGAAAGTTCTACTGGACAGTGCTGGCCTATGCCACTCCCAAAGTCCTCTCCCTCCTAGTCTTCCTGTTTTAGTAGGTAATGTCCCCATTCACCCTGTGATCCAAGCCTTTGTAAGGAGCTGTCACTGTGGTTTCTTCCCTCTTACATACTGCAGCAGGTACACTTTCACTCAGAGACCAGGCCTCGAAGGTTCTTCTTCCACCCGCCCCTCCCCAGCCCAGGCCATCAGCTACTCTGTTAGACCAGCGGCTTACAGTTCAGTCCGTACATTCTCATTGTCCATACAGTGGACCATGGGCGTTCCTCCAAAACACAACAATCTGGTTAAAGACCATCAATGACTTCGTTAACCTGAGAGAGAAAGGTCAAAGCTATTGACAGGGCAGCAACCCTTCCAGGTCATGTTCTGACGGCCACCCATCCTGTCCCATCTTTGGCCCGTGCCTGCTTGTCCTGCACACTTTAGCCACACTCGACTTCCTGTGGCCCCAAACATGGTGCTTCCTCCCAGGCTTGGACTTCCATAAGTCCCTCCATTATAGCCCTCTCTCCTTGCTCATCTATATAACTCTTGCTCAGTCTTCATGTCTAAGGTAGACGTCACACTGTTTCAGACCCACACCCCCGCCCCATCCCAAGGCAAGGTGAGGTGGCTCCTCCACGTGTCCCCAACTGCACCTGTGTAGACACCATCACCAAGCTGTGATGCTCTACTGAATTCCCATTACCCATACAGGGCCCAAGCACAAAGGTCGACAATGTCATGGAAGCCGATTTCTTGGTTGACCCCTCATTAACATTAACTGGTGGTTAATCACATCGGGTGCTGCTGCAGGAAATGGAATCAGGCCAACAGCAAAGACTTCTTTGATAAGCTGCTTTTAAGTAAAAGATGAAGCTGTCCTATCCTGCTAGAGCAGAGTTCTCCAGACTGATTTGTGACCCATGAATGGGCAACAAAATCAATAGACTGTGTCATGACCAACTTTTTCAAAAGCATGAAACAGAAAAGAATACACACATATATTAAGGGTATTTTTTGTGTGAGATTTTTGTTCCAGCTGTATTAATGCATATGTATGTGCACACTGGTCCATAATGTAAAACTTCTCTCTGGCTGGGGATCAGTCACAGAAGTTGAAAAATACCACTATAGATAATGCCTGGTTGATTATTCCTGGGGCAGACATATAAATAATGGAATTGCATGAGGGCAACATACAATGATCCTAACAGTGTCACATTATACGAGCTCTATAATTTTCCATTCTGTCTTCGAGTACCCTCTAATTTTCATTAACATTTCAGAAATATTTTACAAGCCTTTTTTTTTTCCTTTTATGCCATCAAATTATTCTGAAGGGTAACTTTTTTTTTACCTGCTATATTGAGTCTTTAAGCGTCTGTTTAGAGGTGGAGATTCTCCTACAACAATCCCACAGATGGGGGATTCCCACCTTCCCTGGTGAGCTCGCAAAATGACTACTAGGAAGTCATACCCACTTACCTGGGTATGGTCAACAGAGATCTGAACCCACCGGGTGTGCTCGATAAACGTTAGTGCGCTGAATGAATGTATATGCGAAGTGGTTTCACTATTTACAGAAATAAGGGTCCCCAACTTGCTACCTGACGTTACACATTCATGTATCTATTTATCCATCCAAGTTAGGGCAACAGGGGTAAGGAAGGATGATGCATGCAGACTTCACCCTCCCGAGAAGAAGAAAAGAATCAACCTAACGATTACCCCATGATTATGGAGTTCTACAGGGCACTACAAGTTCCCGGAAGGCCCAAATGTTTTAGTTTGAATTCCTACTAAACTTGTCTTAACTGGGGATCTTCATACCTAGAGCATTTCTGTTTTCCACAAAATCGACCTAAGATAAAAATGCCATTTAGGTCTCCCTAGTTACCCACCTACATGGATTGATAATCATCGGGAGGACTCTGAGACCCTGTCCTGGGCACAGCAGGATGGATCACAGTGACTGACTAGAAATATCTGGCTACAGGTGGAGAAGGGAAGTGAGGAGGTGCACACACCCTGTACTTATCATTCTCCAGGAAGGACCTTGTGAGTGGATCCTTCATATTCTTCCATATATTATACAGGAATTCACCTCATTATAAAAGTAATAGGTACATATGGGGCACCTGGGTGGCTCAGTCGGTTAAGCGTCTGACTTCAGCTCAGATCATGATCTCACAGCTCATGAGTTCGAGCCCCGCATCAGGCTCTGTGCTGACAGCTCAGAGTCTGGAGCCGGCTTCGGATTCTGTGTCTCCCTCTCTGTCTCTGCCCACCCCCCTCCCCCACCACTTGCACTCTGTCTCCCTCTCTCTCAAAAATAAGTAAACATTAAGAAAAATTTTTTTAAGTCATAGGCACATATATATTCATTCAAAATTTTAAAACCTCTAGAAAATATTATTTATAACATAATATTATTCAAAGACAATAATATACCATGTTTGTGTTTAGCTTTCCAATATTTTTCCATGCTTATACTTTAAAAACACTTTAGTATATCATAGACCTTGTCCCCCCTCCACATGTCATGTGCCCTTTCCAAGTCTATAAATACCTTTCAGAATGTTAAAGGGGAACATAAATCTTAGTGGGATTCCAGATCATAATGGATGTAACTAATTCCAGGCTGCTGGACATTTGAGTTATGGCCAATTTTTCATTTTTTACAAACATTTTCATACACATTTTCTATAGCTAAGTCTTTGTGCTCATCCACAGTTATATACTTAGAATGAGTAGTTTAATTTTTACACTGAAAATACAGGCCATGGTTATCTCCCTTTGCATATTTATTTACCATTTAATGCCCATTAAAGAAGACCACTATTATTCAAGGAAAAAAAAAAAATGTTACCCTGTCTTGATCTTGGCTTTGACACAGGGATGTTCATAAAGCAACAGAGGTCTAAAGGGAGAAGGGTCAGGCAAGCCTGGCAGCTGGGTTACCTGGCCAGCCTTTTCTGCTTCGCCCCAGCCTGTCCCAGGACCCAGGGAGAACCATGGAATATCCCCATCCTATGTTTTCTCAACTTAAAAATGTCAGGGTTAGACTGAATTCTTTTTATCCATACCAAACCTTGGAATACAGCTTCTGTAGCATGAAGCTTCTGTTTCCCATCCTGGAAACCCAAGGTAAATAAACTCAAGCAGTTTGGAAAAATTTAAAGAGATCAAAGTTTCCATTTGTGAGACATTGTCAGAAGACTTCTCTGTCCTAGCTGGCAGCCCATAATCGAAGCATTTCACAAGCTGCTCGGCGGGTTGCTCAATGAGGGAGCCACCTTATACCATCAAATGGTTTTCTCTTTGGTGCCATCACTTTCCCTCCTTATGCTGGTGAGAATCCAGGGTGGCACCAAGACAGGGATTATATAAATGAAAACTCTGTGGTATCCAGAGACTGCATAGGTCTAAATACAGAGCAAAATTTACAGACTTAAGGTTTCTCTTGTTTATTAATACTTATACTTCATAGAAGAAAAAAAAAGACAAGCTCAAGAAGTGGGACAAATTCACGCATATTTACTCACCTGGTCATAAGCATCCAATTCATTATTGAGGGAATAAAGAGCATACATACCCAACAAACGGAGGAGGAGGAACAGGACTCCCAGGGCGTAAGACTTGAGTTCAGGGCTGACTGTCCTACATGCAAAGAGATGAAGAGGAAAAAAAAGATCCTTATCACTCCTCTTCAATTAACAGACCCCAGAGTCATCCACTGCTGTCCATCAGAGCCATTCTCTAGAAATTAATGGTTTTTTTTGTTTTTTGGGTTTTTTTTTTTTTTTTTTTTTTTTTTTTTTTTTTTTGCTTTCTCTGTCTAAAGTCTGATAAATAACTGCACTAACAAGATAAGTTTAGGAAATTAACAGTGGGTTTTTTTTTTTTTTTTTTTAAATAATAAGGCTAATCTTGTCATTGGGAGGAAGACATGCAAATGTGGTCCCTAAAGTCTTCATTTAAAGGCATTTTACTTTTGCCAGGACGGGCAAATATCTTAAGTTGATAGAATACACATATTGGGGAAGTATCAACTGGGAAGACCATTTCTCTGAACGTTTCTCAAACAGCCAGTGCTGTGAACACCCTTGTCCTTCTCAGGTCATTTTGTGATATCAACCAGATGATCGTGGCTTGACACCCCAGATGGGCCACTTGCAGAATAATCCATTTGACTATATCCAGTTTCAATACCCCTTGGTCATGGTTCTTTGTTCTGAATGGACTCAATCACCCTGGCTTTGGTTTATCCAGAATAGTCCCTTAGAATGAGCCTCTCGCACATTTTCTAGCACACTCTCAGAGTGTAACATTTTCTGGGATGAGCGTGACAGTAGGCGGGGTTTAGAAATAATGACCAATTCTAGACAGAGGGGCCCTCCTGGCTAATAACATCTCTTTCGTAATGCCTCTTACTCTTGAAACTAGTATTAATTCAATGCTTGTCCTCTCTGGGCCCAGGGACTCTTTGTATCTTGTCCATTGTGAGTGCAGTGATGATGTACTGAGTAACATATATGTGGGTGGGTCGGTGGGGTGAGCACATGTCTCCCACTCATGACCCAGACCGGCCCTATCTCTGGTGGGGTGGCGAGGGAACATGAAGAGAGAGGTATTTGACGGACTACATACACGTATCCTTCAGGTAATCTTGGACACCACAGACAGAGAAACTTCCTCTTATCCCATTCCCACTGGGAGTCCCTAGGGGAAATGGGGAGGTAAGCACAGTACTATGTCTCCTGGAAGGACCTGGTTAGGCCTAGAGCCAGTCCAGTGTGGCTGAGACTTTGTAAATACCAGGAGCACTTCAATATGGCTGAAAGACCAGGAAGGCTCATGCAATAGAGGGAGGACCTAGGCAATCAATTCTGTAGGAAATAAATGTTAGAAACAAAGTTACATTGCAATAGGATATCTAAGTCCACTAGGATATCTAGTACCCAGGACTTAGTAGATAGATAGATTGACTGATAGATTGAGAGATCATTTATCTATTAATCTATTTTAGCTAGAATTAGATTCTAGCTAAATGAATGACCCCAGGAATCATTCATCCAAACACCCAGTGCCATCCATCCAATGACCTGGTTTGAGCCTCAGTGGGCATGTCTTTGGCTTGTTGGTAGAGTGGACCAAAAGACACTGTCAAACCAAAACGAACAGGGGCGCCTGGGTGGCTCAGTCGGTTAAGCGTACGACTTCGGCTCAGGTCATGATCTCGCGGTTCATGAGTTCAAGCCCTGCGTCGGGCTCTGTGCTGACAGCTCAGAGCCTGGAGCCTGTTTCAGATTCTGTGTCTCCCTCTCTCTTTCTGACCCTCCCCTGTTCATGCTCTGTCTCTCTCTGTCTCAAAAATAAATAAACGTTAAAACAAAATTTTTTTTTAAAATAAAAAAAACCAAAATGAACAGAGATGTAGGTTTTACAATCTTGGCCATATTTCTAAGATTTTCAGTGAAAACTATAAATGTGTTATTCTTGGGGAAACACCCCTTTCTTCTCGATTGTAAAGAGTGGGATACAGGCAAGTAGGTTAAGACTTTCATGGAGTGATGGGGAAACCACTCTCTGGCTGATTCAGCCAGATACATGTACAATGTCAATGATGAGATCGATGTTTCTGGACAGAAACACAGCCAGCTCTCTTTAGAATGTGCATGTTACAAAATCCAAGTTCTTCGGAGCTATTATTGGCTCCACGGTTCTGGTTTTTGCATACCCACTTGAAGGTATTAAGTTGAAAGACACATAAATAAAAGCAAATTCTCCTTTTCAAGAAAACGTGCTGGCGTAATGAGCTAGAATATTTATCACTTGAAATCTGATTTCCTTTTAGCTATCATGTCACTAGGAATAAAATGAGCAAGGTGCTAAGATCTCTGTTCATATCCTGTTGAGGAACTTGTTCCCATGGGGGAATCTTGCTTCTCAGATCTACTTACGAAGAAATGGAGAGTTCAGGTCTGAATGTTATGGAAAGTTCCGGGCAAGGCCAGGGATGGGATCTGAGGTCTACCGCTTACTAGCTGACGACCTCGAGAATACTGCTTGCTTAACCACTCCCCGGGCCTCCTCCTCTGTAAAAGGGGAATGGCAATAAGGATGTAAACGTAATTAAAACAGGAGCTCAGTGCTGGCTCTGAAGGGGGGTGCAGCGGGTGTTAGCTTGTATCCTCACCTGTGGATGTTCTGAGAGCTGCTTTACGTGGGCTACAGTGGGGCCATCACTCTGGAATGGGGCAAGGGCCAGCATATACCTGGAAGGTGGCCTAGACTGTGCCCTTGTGCCTGCCTGGAATACCTGTGATGGCCAAATGGACTGGGATAGTGACAGAATAAGGTGCTACCCTGGCCATCTCGACGGGGACAACGTGCGAGCCTGGGCCTCCAGCAGGCCCCGGCAGAGCACAGGGTTATGTGATGGCCGAGGCCCAGCCTAGGTCACGTAGGCCATCTGTTGCTGATCTATTTAAAGGAATCAAATGTTTCCCGAAAATCCCCAAGAGCTGTTTCTCAAGCTGAGATTTCGAAGTGATTAAGATTTCAACTTTCTGTGTTTGGTGTGCCAGTCACAAACAGTGAGCTGGTTTTTGCACAGAAGTCATGGGGAGAGGAAACAAAGGGACTAGTCACTGCTCATGGCCGTGAAGGTCATTGTTCCTGAATCTTGGCACCTTTTGTGGGTGACCAACACAATACAACTTCATAGGGATTTCTAAATGAAAAGTCACCCATAACACAGCCATACCTAGGACCTGACGGGTTTTGTCCATATCCATGCTTGACACAGTCAACCTCTGTATAGAATTTAAATGCAACAGTTCACTTCTTAAGGACTTTTCACATTCTTAAGAATTTTTCATTATTCCATTGAGCTATGGTACAGTACTGTAATTTAATTCATTATCCCAATTCAGGTTTTTCTGCTATTATAGCTAACATTGTAATAAAAATCTGCCTGCCCTGAGCTGTTTTTCTGGGAGGGAAGTATTTTCCTAAGTGTTGAAGGGTAGGGTTACCTCATAAAAAAATCTGAACATTTTTATGACTCCTGATTCACAATGCTATATTGCTTCTTTGAAAGGAGTGATAGGCTTTTCAATGCCACCAGCCATAGGTGATTTTACCCAGCCTAGTTTTGCCACAGGCTCGCAAGCGCTGGGTGTGAATGTTGAAAATTGGTTTTTCAAGTTTAGAAAGTATAAAATGGCAATTTGTTATTGTTACCTTAATGCTTCTGCACATTAACAAGGCTTTGCTAATGACCTTCTAGATGACATAAGGGCTTTGGAGAAATGTTCTTCCTCAGGAATTCAGAACAGAGATCAGGAAACATGGTAGGCATGGGGAGAAGGGGAGCAAAGCTGGATACAGAAGCTGGGAATGTGCATTTGTACAGGTCAAGTTCAAGTAGTTCATTCTTGCTTGCTTCTAGCCCCTGGGAGTACCCTGGTCTGTGTAGATAGCTGCATCCCAGTAAGGTGGGTCTGTCTGTTTGGGGTCACTTCCTCCAGTTCGAGACAGACACTGGGGGCCGGAGCATCCCATTTCTAGGTTCCTCACCCAAATCTAGGTAACTTTGGAAACGTAAAAGTTACTCAGAATATGACTCCACAGTTCACCTTTGAGGCACCTCACTCACCGCCAGGACAGGTCCTGAGAGACCAGATTATGGGTGGTTCCGGACAAGCGCAGCCACTGCTGGCACATGCATGGCCTCGGTGGGACCCACATCACTTCTAGGAGGCTGGCAGGATCAATGACATTGCTCCCGGGCCCGAACTCAGAAACGAGTCTGAGCGAAAATGTGCCCAAGGTCACGTGGCTAATCAGTGGATGAACAGGGGTTGAACTTGGGGGCTTGGCTAGTCCAAGGCCATTTTCCTTTTACTCCAACACTGCTGCTCTCTCTAAAAATCAATGTAGGACCACATTCAAAATCGCCCGCAGGATCTATTCTTGGGAGGATATGAAAGTATCATCTCCCTTGGGGCCATGCTTTCCGGTCTCTATCAAATGTAACTGATTCCTATCAACCTGGGGAAGCTGGCTTGTAAGACTCATGCCACGCCCGAAGTTCGGACCTCCCAGAGAACTGCAGACAAGCACCAGATGGGGACGGGGAGGGCGAAAGGTGAGCCTGGCCTCTCTAGTCCCTGGGTCTAAGCTTACCTGATAAGGATGATGACTGAGGGTGTCTGCGCCATTGCCCCGATCATACTGCAGACACACATCACACACAGGAAGGTGAGGAAGGCCTCTTGGCACCCGGGACTGGGGCATTTTCCGGGAACCACAGTTGTGTTCTCGGCCGGGACGGTCGTGAGGCACGCACAGCCGGTGAGATTCTGAAATGGAAGTATTCAGCCCTCTTAACGGGGGGTATCTCCAGTTTCCAAATCCAAAGCCATCCATCAGATGGAGCTGTCACAGCCTAATTATGCATTCTGTGGCATTCCATTAATTAGGCCTGAATAAACGAGTTAGCTTTTTAAGGAGGCTGCGAAACACATGCAAATAAAGGAATATTTACGGGGAGAAGAGCCAATTCCCCATCTCCTGTGTATTTCATCTCCATGCTCAAGAATCCCTCGATAGGCTGTACCCTAGACAAACATGTCCCCTCCCGCCCCAAGTACTGTGGAGGAAACTGCCTCCACAATAGGATAAAACATTGCCAAATTAACCTTATAATTACTTGCCAACTTGTCCTCTTTTATGCAGTTATAATTACAATGAAGTGTATTAAAAGAAGTAAATCAGGTAACCTGCATATTGTTGCTGGTTCAGTGCCCAGTGTGGCACTTGGAACAAAGGATGTGCGTTGTCAGCCACGAGGTTGCTGCTCCCGTGGTGGGGCGGGAGGGGGGGCAGGTTAATGGGAAAGTTCTCACGTGCCAGGGGAAGCAAAGAGGGCTAAGAGATGCCAGGAGCTTGGAGCAGATCGCGGGCAGCAGACGAAAGCCCAAACCAGACACATTTATTAATACATGATCCAAGGAGGGGGGGGAGAAAAAGGCGGCCGCATTCCATTTGATCTTGCGGGTAGATTCTTGCCCAGCTGCCCCTGCTCCCCAGCGAGGTCCAGCCCCAGCTTCATCATCAGAGGAACTTCTGATGGCCAAGGGGAGGGGCAGGGGCTGGGAGAGGCAGTGCCACGCGAGCGCCGAGCCAATTAAGGTTCGATAATAATAGTGCAGAGGCCTTTAATGAATACAAAATGAAAACAATCCTAAATGATTCATTGCTTTTCTTCTCAGGACTGCTCGGCTTTCAGAGCACACGCCAAGAAAAATCCTCCTGAGGGTCAAACAAACCCCCTTTGGCTTTCACGTTGCTCATCCTTGTCCTCCTTCCTCTCCTCTCCTCTCCAGTCTCCCTCTCGCCTCTTTTCTTTTCCCACAGAGCAGAGCACAGATAGGGGCTTTTCTTATCCCATCAAGTCACATGGGATGTTTTCAGGGATGTCCAAAAGCCCGTCTGTGCCACGCTCCCCGCCCCATCAGAGCCACCTGGCTGCATCCTGCCCAGGGGCGCTTACCCATGTGGGCAGACGTGGTGTGGGGCTGGATGCTTCTTCCTAAGCATCGTGCCAAGAGCAGGTGCCTCTGTATAAGTGGCCAGGTTACAGCACCCCACAGTGTTTACTGTAATTCCCATGGGAGATGCTGAGATCTTGGCCCCCTGGCCCTTCCCACCCATCTCTGCCCAAGGGGTCTTGCTAGCTCTTCTGTAAAACCTCCACCTCCTGAGAGGCCCCCCACTGGCTGAGCCAGCCCTGAGCCAGGGTTTTTCATGGGCCCCGAGGAGCCCCTGTATGAGAGCACACTCTATGCACCACTGAGGGACCTTCCCACACTTCTGGAGGAGGCCTCGTGGCTCCTGGGATAAAGGAAGACCATGTCTTATGCACATTGTCCCGAGTGTTTCACGGTGCTGAGACAGAGCAGGTAACTCTTAGCAGGTGGTTTTAGAATGCCTAGGCGAATGAATCCTCATCTGCATTTATCAGGAGGCAGGGCTGCTCCCCAATGACAACCTAAATGTCACCTTTCTTCCTGCCCAGGAGAGGAAACTATGCCCCCCTCTGCCCAGACCCCAACTGCACAGCCAAACTTCGCTCGCTGTTTACACCCACCACCTCCATCTCATTCCCCAAGCTCCCCCTCACTCCAGGGGGCTTCTGTCCCCACACGTGGGAACCGGATCGTGCTAAGATCTCCGGTGGCCTCCATAACCCGACCCCACCGTCCACTTTTCTCTTACGGGGGCCCCCAAGAGCATGTGCCCGTGAACCACTCCCCTCCCTGGCTTCCATAGCCCATGACCGTCCCAGACCCACGTTTTATGTCCTGTCCCAAGGCTCCAAGCATGTCGCCATTTCCACACTAAATCCAGGAACAAATGCCCCAAGCTGGATTCTGCACTGTCAGCGTGGCACTCCTCCCCATCTACATCTGGGAACTACTTCTCTGGAATCCCCCTCCCTGCAGGGGTGACAGCTGGTCGGGAGGGGAACACGGGTGAGATTTAGAAGGCAGAAGTGAAGCAGAGGCCACTACGCTCTGAAGGTCAGACACAAGGATGATACCCGCAGAGGTGCCCAGAAGGTGCCAGCTGGCCCTAGCATCCGTATTTGCACCCGCCCTCTTTTCTATCTGCCCTGCTGACAGCACAGGTCTATGCCCACCTCTCCCGATTCGGCTGTTCACCTGCTGACATGGTCAGCACCCCTTTCGTCTCACAGACAGTCATATGAACACAGCTTCTTGGTATTTTCCCACAAGCCCCCCCTCTTACCCACATCAGCTGGTGCTTCTGGGGATGGCAAAGATCGGTCTTGTGATTCTTCGAGACTTTAATTCCTCAACTCCCCCACGTTCACGTAAGCTCTATTTCCTACACTCAATTCTTTTATTTCCAAAATACCTGTGGGTGCTGCTTTCCTGACCAAACCCAGACAGATGTACATCCCCCCGCCCCAACCTCCACCCCCTCTACATCTCTTGCCCGAGAAATGGTGTCTCTGGGCAGCAGGTGGGAATTCTGGACCCTGCTCCTTACTGCCACGGCTGATGCATCTTCCTCATGACTATGAGGCTAATGAGGCCAGACATCATTGTAGTTTTGCTCCCTAATTTATCCTCAGCTCTAGAGAACAGGGCTTGGCTCATGACAGGGATTCATCAGCTGTTTATTGAATAAATGGATAGATCTCAAGGCCTATTCATTTCACCGTATCCTAAGTCCTTCTCAGACCCTCAAATCCTTCTGTCTCTGATCCCTGTCAGAGCCTGAGAGAAAAGAGAGATTCAGGTGTAGGGGGCTAAGAACCACATATACCCAAAGAATGCACACGTATAAATGAGGAACAGGCCCCTCCCGGATGGCTGTGGTCTTGCTTAGTCAACCACCCTAGGAACTGAGCTCTGACTCACATAGCCTCTTAGGACTATGACGTGAGTCCTGCAGCCGAGTGATCAGGGCCAGAACCTGGTGAATAAACCCTGTGACTGGAGAGCTTTGTTTAAGAAGTAATCTGTAATTGGGACCTATTACAGTAGGTCTAATCTAAGACTCAGTCTTAGATTTTTGCCCGATACCTAGATTAGGGCCCAACTGCATCATATTTACCATGATAGGAAAACTGCCTGGCTCCTCTCTGCTCTGAGAAAATCCCTTCTGAAATGGACCCACTCTGGATTAGGTCTGTGTTCCTGCTCTAATGGAAGGGGATAAAAATGAGACATCTTTATTTCAGACTATCCGACACAGGGATTGCACAGCTCTGTCTGGTCCGGGGAGGGGATGAGTGTGTCCCCTAAAGCCAATGTCCTGGGAATGGAGTGAGTGGGCAGCAGAGTTGAGCCAAGACAAGGGACAGAGGCGATGGCACACAAAGCCAGGGGAAGGGATGGGACGAGAACAGGCCAAGGGCAGCTGCAGTCCGACTGGACAGAAATGAAGCATTTGTAGGGTCGTTAACACCACAAGAGCAGAAGTAAGAAATGCAACCAGGGCAGATGTCGTCTGGCAAGTGGCCAGGAGAGAAGCTGGAGATGGCTGGGTCCCTCCCAGAGGCTGTAGGCAAATCTGTATTTATTTATTCAGACTTAACTTAGTTGAGAAGAGCCGTGGAAGAGGCTGGGGAGGAGATAAGCCAGACGGTCGGAGCAGGGACATGGATGGGACTCCTTTCTGGGCAGAGGACTCAGTCCAACACAATGACAGCATCTGGAAATGCTGGGTGGTCCCACGGTCTGGCGGGGAAGGGGACAGGCACCTGGGACATTCCTGCAACCCTTCCAAGAGGGAAATCTAAGGGAACATGCTGGGCCTGTGGTCACACGGCAAGAGAGAGTGTAACATCCTTCATTTGGGCTTAGGTGACACAAGAGACAGACCTGCGTGTCGTGCTAAAGGGCTGTGGGGACTCTGGCCACAGAGGCAGCTATGTGAGAAGAAACGTCCACCCAGATGTCCACGTGTGGTGGGAGGAACCACAGATGAGGACACAAGGTTTCACCTTCCCCAGGGTGCGTAACTGTAAGAGACGACTTTCCTCCTGGGGGCTTTCAGACTGCCATCCCAAATAGAAAGGAAGCGGGGCGAACAGCCCTTCTTCCGCTGATATTAACCGGGCATCCACGCGGGAACCCCTAAACTTGCAAAAGTTCTGAGGAGCAGGAAGCTTGAAAATACAGAGATAACCTGGATATGACAGAACGATTCACTTTACTAAGGAGATGACAGAGACTAGGATCCTAATTCTCACCCTGTCTGTATATAACAGTTCCATCTGGCCAGTCCAAAAAGCAGATGGATCTCAGAAGCCACCTGTAGACAGTCATGGCCTGAGTCAAGTGCTGTCCCTGGCAGTCCCCAATATATTTCAGTGTTGACAAAGTGCACTAGGCTCTGGGAGATTGGTGCATCATTCCTGACCTGGAAAACGTCCAATTTTCCACTTCTGTTTCAAAGGAACGTCTTCCCGGCTCACCAACCTAGGGGAAGGAGTTACATTCTCTGTCTGGCGCCACATATTGGGGCGGGAGGTGGGAGCAGGACCTGGCTTTCTTGGAAATAAGTGCATCCTGACATAGCATGTTGATAACCAGACGACCACTGTGCTCGCACAGGAGGCCAGGCAAAGCTTTGGAACCAGCGGTGACCCAGAGGACAGAAGGGGACTCACTTGTAAATTCTGTAAGAACTTATCCTACAGACAGATGGGCCCGCGCACAACATGACGTAAGTACAATGTGAGCCACAACACTGTTTGCAAGACCCAAAGTTATGCAGCGATCTGAACACCCATCACAGGGGCTGGTTAAACAGGTTCCTACGG